TAGTTAGTTTTCAGAAAAAAAAGTTGGTTGAAATATTTTAAACATCTTTAATGTCCCAGGTTATACTAATTACAATCATCACAAAATTTACAAAAAAAATTTCTCTCATCCCCTTGGTACATCGTGGAGAAGGCACAGGGTACCAGCAGAAGATTTAAAGAACTTGGGAAGGCAAAAATGAAAACTGTAACTTGTATCCTGCTGACCAGCTGCCCATGTCCTGACTAAAGCCGGGACATTAGTAGGCTTGGACAATAAGAGTGTTTCAGACCCTAGAACATAGTGACAGCTTGAAAGACAGGCACTTTGCTTGGGACCAAAAGCCCTTTTCAGGACTACCTTCTTTTCATTATGTCTCAGATTTCTGTACATTCAGGTTCTCATTGACTGCAGTACAGTGATCTACTTTTGACTAAAAATCTTTAACTACCACTCCCTGGAAACTGCATGGAGGTAAATTATCACCACTTTGTGCTTCAAAATTAAACCTTAATAAAAGGCATCATTGGTGATTTGTTCCGGGTACATACTTAACAGCTCAAGCTGCATCTTGTGCCTTAACATGCTAATGCTGACCCTCATTAAACATACACTACAGCACAGCATTATAGAATTAAAAAAAGGTAATGTACTGTAATTTTTTTCAAGAGTATCACTTACTTTACAAACTCCAACCATGCATATAAGTGACCATAAAAAAGTGATTTTCAAAAAACATAGTAGAAAACATATATAATAGCAGTTAATTTACATAGAGAAAAAATGGACATAAAAATTATATGATCTCATTATGTGAAGCCAAATAGAAGATATTTAGCTTTGGATGAAGAGTGGAAGTAAAATGTATGCTGATAATAATGTAATATCAAGTAGGTGGGTGCAAAGCCGGCCATCTGTTTCAGATTAACAGCAAAAACAACCGACAAGTCCCACATAGACATAACACTAGGAAATACAGTCTCCTATCAATGGATCAATACAGATTCATGGTGCATAAAACATACACCAAAGTCTTGGCACCTAATAAACCAAAATACAGTCTCATTTTCTTCTAATGTAATGTAAGTTATATTATTCATTATAAATGTTTGGAGTCGTGTGATGAACAAAGACTAGACATGAAAACACACTTAGTCCAGGCAACAATTGCCAAGAGAAAAACTTGTCTTCTTACTTTAGTGTAATGTTTTGTCAGGAAGACAACAACATGTATAACCGATCTGGGTTGCATTTCATGGAAAGTCCCAAGTCTAAAATATACGTCTTAAGACCAAAACTTAGACAATTTTCATTTCAAAGAAAATGTCATTACTTATGACTCTTATGTTAAAACTCTTCAATTTCTGAATAGCAATGCAGATGAATATTGTTCATGATACCAACAAGAACTTTTCGCATGTAATATCCAGTATAATTTAAAGGCACCCAGGGGCTTATTAGTTTACTTAATACAACAATAACCCCAACAGCAAAAGTAACACCATTTAAGGACATAAATCTTGCAGTCATTGTCCTGTCTTACAATGCTTAAATAATGTACCAAACTGAACAACAATGAAAACTGAATGCAACTGCATTACAACAGAATAATGAATAATAAAATACTTCAATAAAGATTGAGAGAAAAAAATACTTTCTTGTCAATCAAAAACTATGGGAAATAAATTCAAAATGTTGCAAGTGATGTAAAACTTATTAAAAGTTATTTAAGGTATTTATTTTGGTCTCGGATCCAGGAAAAGATCTGAGAATGCAATTTTGTTATAAAGGTTGATTTGTGACTGGTGTAATGCCAGTTTTATGCTGTAAAAGTCACTCTTACCAAGCTACGTTTCCAAAAATACTACCCAGAAAGTGACAAATTGACAATTTCCAAGCTAACTTTGTAACAATAGATAAGGATCAAAGAAAGAACAGATTTAACAGGAAACTGTAAAACAGTAACTACAATGTCATTGTGTGTAAATATGTTTAGACTTGTATATATTGTACTATGTCAAGTTAACCATCACAACTTACAAAACATCTATTGTTGGAAAGTTTACAGCTCTACCACTAAGTCCTTAACAGCCAATTTTCTACAACCTTTGATCTTCTGATTATCAGATCATAAATAAAATTCATATACTTATGTTAAAATCATCTCTTTGGTAAACTAGCTATTGAATAACATCTCAAGACATATTTAAGAAAAATCTCAAAAGAACCTTATAATCCAGGGGTTCTGAAATCTAACTACATTCTATTTCAACTCAAACAACAACAACAAGAACAGAATGCAAAAATAATATATTACAATCAATGCCATAAAACTACCACTATCTAGCAAAAACATGACATCTTCCAGTAAACTTGTGTATCTTATAATTAATTACGAACAAAAATAATCAATTTAACATCTCATTTCAGTTCATGATCACAGCCAAGCTGTTCAAAGATCAAGATTTAATTGCCAGGTAAAACTGTGAAAGCCTCATTCTGTCTTATCTTTAGATCAACTCCATAGAATTCACACAATATCTTTTAAGAAAGAAAAAATAAAAAGGTTTGCATACCTGTTGATATATAGTTTCCATTTGCTAAATATTATCTATTAAAACTGCTTAAATTGTATTTAATATAACTGTATTTAATTATTAAGAACACACCAAATTTACAAGAAAGAGAACTGCTTGTCCAGATACTAGATTAATCTAGACATACTAAGGTATTAATTCAGTAATTAAAACAGGTGTCCATTTAATGCCTTTACATCTAAAATGACTGATTGATGTACATTATCGCAATAATGGTAAGTAACTTGTGTAATAAATATGTCAAAATGGGCAACTATTTCTAATACAAGTGTGATATTACTACATGCATTTACCTACAAATATCCATGTGTATTGATCTCTAATTCACCAATCAGAATCAGTCAAACGTTGGTGTGACAGACTTTGACTTCTTCTTCTGCTAACATAATATTATATATACACAAAATATCATCATATCTATGGTATATATGTGAAACAATGAATATTTTATAAGCATGTAGTTGCTTTAACACAATCATATACTTGATGAGCAGCAAAAATGAGTAACAAAAGATATGACTATTAACTATAATATAATTTTGGGTACTTTTTATATGTGCACTACATTTAAGAGAGCTCTTTCAAATATAAACTTTGGCCTTTTGACATTAAGTAATCTATATATTACAAGCCATAATATACATTGTACATGCTTAAATAAATAGTTACTATAATTAACATTCAATTAATTTGCAATTTATCACTATTTTGTTCGATTGTATTGTTGTACTTTGTACTTTGGCTCAGAGGCCTATATTACAAGAAATAAACTGAAACTGAAATTTGCTCCAGAAAAGCATTTTTCTCTGACCTCTATGTGTGACCTTGACCTTGAGACCTGGTTCATGTGTTTGTAAATACACCTTATGGTGATCATTTGAATCAAGAAATACTTTAAATTCTCAATGCATGTAGAAGATAAGGCTTTAGACATAACTTGACACTGCCTGAAAGCTGCCTACCTGTCATATGTTATCCCATCATATAAGTCCCATATTTTAAAAATTGGTAACCATGTCACAGAAAATGCCCCATTTCCCCCATTAAAGAATATGGCCTACACATGAATTTAAACCATGCTAATTCTCTGATGACATCAAAAAAGTTCCAACCATACACATTACATTCTTGCAAAATGGCTTTGACAGCTCAAATATAAATAGCAGCATGACCCATGCATTATTTTGAAAATCCACTTAATTAGGCATGTCTATGATCAAACATTTAAACAAGAAAAAGGCTTCAAATGTTTCCCCTCCAGTTATTCTGCAACATAAATTTACTTGCTTTTAATAATGTATTTGTTTGTATGCATAATGCTGTTATGATATCATACAATTATGTTCACAAGTTTTAACAACACTTAAATTATATGGACAAAACCGTAAATCATTTTTAGGGATAATTTTAAAGGCCAAATATGCCTCAGAAATGCTTTTATTTTTATTTCTCAAAATGTTTTTAATTTTGGTGTACTTTTAAATTATCATTGGCCAATCACCTGAACCATCTTATTCATCTGTTGCTTTTTGGCAATAAGAACATTTATAGTGAATTAGTATACTGTTTGGAAGTCAAAATATTACTTTGTTTACATCTTGCTACTTTTATGACAAATTTATTTATAGTTATCATTACTTGCATCTATTATTCTCTAAAACCATTATTTAAACATTATCAAATTCATGTTTGCCCTTTCTAAAGATGTAAAAAAAATATTTGTTTCTGAGGACAAGTATAATGTGCCTTTAAAATAAATTGTGCCAACTTAACATTAATAGCAACTCGTGTAGACCATGATCAGACAGCGCAGATACCAGCTGATCTTGGTCTGCACTGGTTGCATGGGAAGAATGAGACGCCACCAGCTGGTTAAGGTTTAATTGTTTACATTCTGCTAAAAAAAAGAAATATCAAGAACTAATTGTATGTTACTTGAAATAAAGAAATCATTCTTAAATCAACAATGTGTTACATTACTCTTACCACTGCTCAAGACACTAAAAATACATTAAAATCAGTCTGCAAATTTTGCACGAGCCCACGAGCCCGCTAACCCATTGGCTAGTAGACATTCTGTCAGGACTGTAAAATAGCCCAGCTGGCCTGTCAAAAATTAGCAAACAACTAACAAATTTATCCTAGATTCGGCAAATAGAATTTTTACTTTATAACTTTATGAGTCTTTTTTCTTGAATTTACTTTTCTCTTCCACAGTTTAACATTTTTTGGCTTGTAAAAACCTATTTCAGCTAGTAAATATTGCCAACCACTTGCTTGAATGTCTTGTGGTTTTCTGTTTCCTACATTCTTTGACTGTAAAATTTTGAAAACAATAAATTTTATAAATCAAATTCATTCATGTCGTTTAATATAAAGATGATGTAAAAAGGGAAGTATTTCTGACATAGTGTGAATACCCACCATTATATCCAAGCTTCATTAATCCAAAAATGAAAGTAAGGAACACATTCTATGCATCAACAACAATTATGATTTTGATGTACAAAACCAGAAATCCTCTAAGAAAATTCCATTTGTTCTTTTTACGTCCTCGATGTAAGAAATATAAAATTCCACTGATTTCCACTAACACTGATTGCCTAAAGGAATCCAAAAAGATTACATTATGGGTATCTATGTCGGAATCAATGTTCTGGCATCGTAGGTCAAATCAAGTACCCCTCCTACACACTAGAATGTAACTTGTCTATCACTGTAACTTAGTAGCTTGCTCTGTACATTATATACGAAGCTGAATCTACCATCACTTACCGAAAAACAAAAACATAGTGATTATTCCTACAGACCTGCATTGTATTTACCTGGAAAAAAATGCCTGTAATGCATATTCAACCTATAACATTTGTTATTGTTTGGGTTCTTTTTTTTTGTGCCAATTGGATATATTCTCATAGATTAAGTCATACAAGACAATTATGTCTTTAAAGTTTGTTTTTATCTTAAGATAAATATATTTTCTCTAGCACATAATAACTATGGAAACCACTCTCATGATCACATTATTTGACTTACTAATTTTTCTTTTTTTTAGTCATTTAGTCATGAATTAAAGTAACCCCTATTTAACCTGGTGAATTTCTTAAATAGACTTGTCAAGTTAATTTTTTTGGAATTTTCCATTTTCATTTTTGGGGATATCAAGACATAATTCTGAAGTTGGACAGTCAACAGTTTAGAGCCTGGTCAGACAGCACTCAGGGGACAGGGCTAATCATTTTCTGGGGAGCTGTAGCATAATGGTTAAGGTGTCTGCCACTAAACCCAGGGATCATGGGTTTGAGCCTTACTCCGATAACGATGATATTTTCTCATGTGACACCAGTACTTTTTAGTTCTAGGAAACAGACTTAACATGATTAATAAGTAAGTTGCAAGAACTTGTTTCACAATCAAGCTAAAATAAATATCTTTAAAACTTATTGTCCAGAAGTCTAAGGGTTAAGTCACAGTAAAGGTCATATGTCCAGATGGCATGCCAAGATATCACGTTCACCTTTGTATATTATTTTGACCTTTCATCAAGATAGATGGAAGCCTCTTGAAACTCTTCATATAAAAGACCTAGAGTCCAAGATTAGAACCAACAGCAGTGAGGGTCATTTTGAATAATAAATGCCTAGAATAAAATCCAGAAATGTGTTGAAGTCCACATAAAAAGCAGACAAACAAAATTCATTGAGCATATTGTACTCGGGTAAGCTAGGTTTCAAGAATAGAAATTGTACTTGTAGAAACACATACAAAAACAAGAAACATCAGGTTGTCACAGTTAGCTGAGTAAATCATTCAGATTGAAGATGCTACACCAAAGCCAAAATACAATTGTCTTTACATGTATCTAAATATCTTTCTATGACCATCAAATTATACAGATTTGTTCCTTGTTAGTTACATAGATTTCATAATTGTTATTCTTGCTAAATGTTTCCTCCAACACTTCAATAAATAACAAATTTCTCTCAGTAAGTTTAGAATCATGTAATGTGGTATGACAGAGTTTAATTCCATGAGCAGTTATACTATTGATTTTGCAGTCAGGATGCTGGCATCTTATACTACTCACAAAAAAAAACTTCAACATGAACATACCTATAATACACTAGCTCTAACATTACAAAAAACATTTTAGTTGAAAAATAATGTTGTTTTTTTTTGTTGAATGAGTTGCGTAAAATGTTCTTAAGGGTGCGATATTTGGTAATATTATTCTATGTATTTGGTATAACTGTTTTGTAAACACATGGATGATCACTACACCAAGAAACAAAACAGATCATATCAACTCAACCTAAAACAAAACAAGGAACATCGCAATGCGATGCAACCAGGTTTTCAGCAAAATATTTCACAGAAGCTTTGTCATGAAGGGGCATTTGTTTTTAATTTAATTTTTAGGAGGAATTATGGCTTTTTTAATATTCCTCAAACAAAAATGATTGAGAAATTTTATTTTGTCTATTCGCCTTTTTTCCCCAAATGTTTTAGAAAGGTAAACAGTACTTTATTTTTGCTTAATTTTTGAAGTTGCGCACTGTAGAAATTGTTCACTATATATTCTGTATAAGGAAAAAATATACAAAGGGCCATAATTCGGTCAAATATTATCCAATCACAAAACCCCGACAATATGTGCCAGGCACTTGATAACAAAGCTTCTAAGAAAGTTTGGTCAAAATCCGTTGAGAAATGTAGGAGGAGTTGCGCACAGAAGAAATTGTTCACTATATATTCTATATAAGGAAAAAAAACAAAGGGCCATAATTAGGTCAAATATATACCAATTGCAAAACCCTGGCAATATGTGTCAGGGCACTTGATGACAAAGCTTCTGAGAAAGTTTGGTCAAAATCCGTTGAGAAGAAATTGTTCACTATATATTCTATATAAGGAAAAAAAACAAAGGGCCATAATTAGGTCAAATATATACCAATTGCAAAACCCTGGCAATATGTGTCAGGGCACTTGATGATAAAGCTTCTGAGAAAGTTTGGTCAAAATCCGTTGAGAAATGTAGGAGGAGTTACGCACAGAAGAAATTGTTCACTATATATTCTGTATAAGGAAAAAAAACAAAGGGCCATAATTAGGTCAAATATATACCAATTGCAAAACCCTGGCAATATGTGTCAGGGCACTTGATGACAAAGCTTCTGTGAAAGTTTGGTCAAAATCCGTTGAGAAATGTAGGAGGAGTTGCGCACAGAAGAAATTGTTCACTATATATTTTATATAAGGAAAAAAAACAAAGGGCCATAATTAGGTCAAATATTATCTAATCGCAAAACCCCGACAATATGCGCCAGGGCATTTGATGACAAAGCTTCTGTAAAAGTTTGGTCAAAATCCGTTGAGAAATGTAGGAGGAGTTGCGCACAGAAGAAATTGTTTACGCCCGCCCGTCCGCCCATCCGCCCGCCCGCCCGCCCGCCCGCCCGACAAACCTCAATCTAATAACCAGTTTTTTCCTTCGGAAAACCTGGTTAAAAAAATTCCACCAGGTCTGTTAATCAAAAGTTACAGATTACCATCTGGCATCACACCCTTAACCCTTTTAATTTACACCTTGGATTGGAATTTCAGGCAATGCTATTTCAAATTTTAAAACAATTCCACAAGTATTCCAATACAATTACAAGCAAAATATCTGAATAATTTAACAAATCAGTGATGACCATTGACTGGCTTTTACACCCAAAAAGTGAAAAACTATCAAAATCAAATATCAATTCTTTGAAAAGTAATTACATGTAGCTAAAGACAATGTAAATAACCATTGTCTTAGTAACAAACTTTATGACAGGGCTCTCAAAAATCATATTATACAAATTTTCAAGTAATGCACTTAGACAAAGTCTTAAATCAATTACCATGAAGGTTATTTTCATAACATGTACAATGAAGCTCAAAATCACTTTCATCAGTGGACTTAAAACAAAATAACTGACCAATTCCAAAAGGAGAACAACATCATTCCTAGAAATACTTCTAAAATGTTAACATAACAATTATATACAAACTTGTTAGTTTTGGTGAGCAGTGTATGTATACAGATACAGTTTAATGTCAAACCTTTCTAGTTTCTAAGGAGAAAGCATTCTGACCTTTTATGAAAACTAGAACTGTTTTTCATTAGAATTACACAAGAAATAGTAAATCATTATAATCTGCAGGTAATGGCACATTAGATCTTATGAAAGAAATGAGCAATTGAAAAATCATCTCCAAGCAAAGGACCATTCAAGAGATGACAATAAATTTCATGTTTCATTTTCTGTTACAGGCAGATCTATTTTCAGATGAAATATATCATTACATATCAGCTGGGTGCCAAATCAGAAACTAAACTCGTCATATCTATTTCTGAACTGTGAAAACAGTTAAAAGAAGAGCTCAAGTTACAAACAAAAGGACGTAAGTCACTGTAAGTCACGCGACTAAACAAGTATAAGCCCTGATGGTTTTTAATTTACACCTACAACTACATTTTCATCTTTTTCACAAAAAAGGAAAATTTATCAACTTGCTTTATTACCTTTCAGAATAGTTTTTTTTTTCTTAATAGCAGCAACACCATACATACTACAAACACAACTGTCACAAATTGCAAATATCAAGATCTGTGGACAAAGTTAAATGTAAAAGGATATAAAGCTATTCCTAACGAAAAGCTTTTAATTTTAAAATAAATAAAACAGTTAAAGTATACTGTTTTCATAATCTTACAGTCAATTCTCAAACAAGACCAGGTTACATACAAGAGGCCCTGGATTGCTCACCTGAGATACATCGCTAGAAAAGGTTCAAGTCAGTAATAAGGTTACATTGGGTTTGTCTTCTTTCTCAATGCTGCGTGATTTTTGAAATAAGTAATCCCAGGGTGGGTCCATTTTTAACCCAAGGGGTAATTTTTATAGAGGGCTATCCGGAAATGCTAAATGCCAAAGATTTAAGCTCCTGGCATTGAAGACTTAAATGTGTATTCCTATTAAAGTCTTTATGAAATTGGTGACTCCCAGGCGGGGCCAATTTTGACCCAAGGGTCATCATTTATATAACTTTAGTACAAGACAGCATGGTGATGCTACATTCCAAATATCTAAGCTCTGGGCACTGTAGTTTCTGAGAAGAAGACCTCATTTTTAGCCTTTTGTGGCCTACTTAAATCATCATTGTATGCATCAGACTTGAACTATTAATATATTCTTTTGTAGAGGACCACCAAAGGATCATTCCAATAAAGTTTGGTCAAAATTCATCAGTGGTTTAGGAAAGAAATTAAGGATAACATGGACGGACACACTGCATTCACAAAAGCTCACCTCTGAGAACTTTGTGCTCAGGTAAGCTAAAAATGTCTATGTTGCTCAATATTACCTCATCATCTGCAGCGCAAGACAAAACATCAAATTGTGTTTGAGCAAGACCTGCTGAAATCTTTAAACTGCACCAGAAAATATTATAACAACATATAAATGTTAGAATCTATATTGTATACAGAAAGAATATCCACATGTAAAGACTGGTCTAAACAAGTCCTGTAATTACTTATATGGATTATGAAAACTGATCTTGAGTATTTCAAGCAATGGTAAATAACTTAGATCAAGAGCTCCATGAAAAAAATAACAAAAACCAATACCCAATGAAATTCCATTTAAATTTCATCATACCTTTTTCCAAGA